TAAGATAACGATTTTGCCTGGGTGCCGTGGCTTACGCCTATAATCCCAGTACTTTGGGAGGTCGAGTCGGGTGAATCACTTGAGTCCAGGAGTTCGAGACCAGCCTGGCCAACATGGCCAAACTCCATCTCTATTGAATATACAAAAAATTAGTCTGGTATGGTGGTGCCTGCCTGTGGTTCCCACTACTTGGGAGGCTGAGGTGGGAGGATCACTTGAGCCTGGGAGATGGAGGTTGCTGTGAGCTGAGATCACACCACTGCACTCTAGCCAGGGCAACAGAGTGAGATCTCATCTCAGAAAAAAAAAAGGGACTTGGCTGCTGCGCTGTGGACTGGTGGGGAAGCTGTGAGGATCCAGCCTCTGCGTGAGCATGAGCCGTGCAGAGGAGATGCGGACTAGGGACAGGGTCATGGGAAGTTTAGAGAGCTGCACTGTCCAGAACAGTAGCCACCAGCCACATGTGGTTATGCAGCCCTTGACACATGGCTGGTCAGGACTGAGATGTGCTGTGAGTGTAAAATAACACTAGATTTAAAGACTTGGTATGAAAAACATATGTGTATATATATATACACACTATATGTGTATAATAGCTCATTAATAATTTCTGTATTGATTATCTATTAAAATGATACTTGGATATATTAATTTGTAGAGACAGGATCTCGTTCTGTTGCCCAGGCTGGAGTACAGTGGTACAATCCTAGCTCACTGAAACCTTGAACTCGGGTTGAGCGATCTTCCTACCTCAGCCTCCCAAGTAGCTGGGACTACAGGTGTGCACCACCACACCCACTAACTTTTATTTTTTTAAATTTTTTGTAGAGACAGGGTCTGCTGTGTTGTCTAGGCTGGTCTTGAACTCCTGGGCTTAAGCAATTCTCCAGCCTCAGCCTCCCAAAGTGCTGGGATTACAGCCATGAACCACTGCGCCTGGCCATTGCTCCTTTCTAATGAGACCATTGTGGTCCAGAGGGCACAGGGTGAGTGTTCAGCTCAGCAAGAGCACACACACTTACACTCATATGTTCAAAGTAAGAACTATCTAGACATGAAATAGGCTGACTGAATAGACAATGAGTTCTCTGTCTCTGAAGGTATGTAAGAAGAAAATTAAGAACCACCATTAAGCAGAGGAAAGGAGGTTGAAATAGATATTTTCAAAATATAGTCCCTGGACCAGCTGCTACAGCATCACCTGGAAATCTTTTAGAAATGCAAATTCTCAGATCCCATCCCAGTCCTGAATCAGAAACTCCAGGAGTGGGACCTAGAATCTGTATTTAAACAAGTCCCACTGGACTAGGTGATGTTTTCTGCCACTTAAAGGTTTAAATTCCTGGCACAGGAGGGGTGCAGTGGCTCACGCCTGTAATCCCAGCACTTTGGAGGCCAAGGCAGGTGGATCACCTCAGGTCGGGAGTTCAAGACCAGTCTGACCTACATGGTGAAACCCTGTCTTAAAAAAAATGCCTGGGGCCGGGCGCGGTGGCTCAAGCCTGTAATCCCAGCACTTTGGGAGGCCGAGGCAGGTGGATCATGAGGTCAAGAGATCGAGACCATTCTGGTCAACATGGTGAAACCCCGTCTCTACTAAAAATACAAAAAATTAGCTGGGCATGGTGGCGCGTGCCTGTAGTCCCAGCTACTCAGGAGGCTGAGGCAGGAGAATTGCCTGAACCCAGGAGGCGGAGGTTGCGGTGAGCCGAGATGGCGCCATTGCACTCCAGCCTGGGTAACAAGAGCGAGACTCTGTCTCAAAAAAAAAAAAAAATGCCTGGCACATAGTAGGTGCTCCGAAGAAGCTATTCACTACCTTCTGTTTGCCTCCTACTCCGAAGTTCAGGTACTTCCCTCTAAGCCTTAGTTTCAAACCTCTCTGAACCCCCTACAGCATCTGGTTGTGTGTGAGCTGGTACCGGTTGGATGAGCCTCAGGGAGTTTCCGACCTCTTTGCCGTCGGCAGATCTCAAGGGAATGATAGAGCTGCCAGAAGCGTAAGGCAGGCCCCAGTTCAGCTCCATCCTGAGGTGACCTCATTGTCCTCTGTGTAGGGGTGATTCATGGGACAACCTCCTACTGTCCTGTGAGCACAGCTGACAGCCTGGGGAAGCCAGCTCAGCAGCTGAGCATGGCATCCAGCTTCCCTGCATTACAGAACTGCCAGCGGGAGCCTGCCTGACTCAGCAGGCACATGTGCTCTGGAGACAGACAGCTCAGCCTCAGTCTCCTCATCCGTAAAAATGGGGAGATACAGCCCCTATCCATGGTGAGAATATTTGCATAAAGTGGCCAAGGCAGCACCTGGCACACATCAGCCCTCGTTATACCTTGGTGTTCTTGTGATGAGGCCATGGGATCCCTCAGGCTGATTGGAACTCCCTAGTGACTTCTTGGGTCTGAGAATGATGTCCTGTAGGTGTATGGGGAAAAGAATGTTCACCTACTGTGAGCACCCAGGAGCCTGGTTCTTGACATGAGTTTGTTTGTTTGTTTGTTTTTTGAGACAAAGTTTCACTCTGTCGCCGAGGCTGGAGTGCAGTGGCATGATTTCAGCTCACTGTAGACTCTGTCTCCCAGGTTCAAGTGATTCTCCTGCCTCAGCCTCCCAAGTAGCTAGGATTACAGGTGCCCACCATGCCCGGCTAATTTTTGTATTTTTAGTAGAGATGGGGGGCGGGGGCTTACCATGTTAGCCAGGCTGGTCTCAAACTCCTGACTTCAAATGATCCACCCGCCTCAGCCTCCCAAAGTGCTGGAATTACAGGCATGAGCCACTGCACCCGACTATGAGTTTTTATTTAGTCACCAGAAAGATGTCTGTGAGGGCAGCACCTGTCTTAGTCATCTTAAAGCATCTATTAAATGAACTCTAAATCATAGAGTATTGTGCCCATTTCATGGATGAGAAAAATGAGGTTCAGAAAGGTTACGTGATTTGCTCAAGGTCATATGGCTGGGAAGTGGCTGAGTCAGGATTTTCACCCGAGTCTCCCTTACTTGAAACCTGGAACTCTTCCCATCCCTCCATAGAGAAACTCCAAGTTAACTCACAGATTTGGAAGCTCCCACATGTGCCATTTAAATCCATGTTTGAAGTGTTAGCTTCTGGTCCATGTTAGAATCGTGGCAATCTTAGAGAAACTGGCTATAGCTGATGTCATTTGAGATGGAGCTTAAAATATTCCTAAATCTAGACTAAGCCTTACTTACTCCGGGCCTCCAGGCCTCAGTTGTTTCACCTGTAAAATGCCCGTAATGAAAGCTTGCCAATTAGCCGGGCGTGGTGGCGGGCACCTGTAATCCCAGCTACTCGGGAGGCTGAGGCAGAGAATTGCTTGAACCTGGGAGACAGACTTTGCAGTGAGCCAAGATCGCGCCACTGCGCTCCAGCCTAGAGACAGAGCGAGACTGTCAAAAAAAAGCAAGCAAGCAAGCTTGCCTTGGCTGAAGGCAGAAAGTTGGATCTAGTGATCCTGAGGGCTCTCCTAACCCTCAGATGCCTGTGTCACTGCGCCTACTTTGAAAGGCAAGGACTAAAGTTAACTTTAAAGGTAAAGTTAATTTAAAGTTAAACCCAGGAGGCGAGTTTACACAGTTTAATATTTACGGGTTTTGTTGTTGTTTTTGAGACAGATTCTCACTCGGTCGCCCAGGCTGGAGTGCAGTGGTGTGATCTCGGTTCACTGCAGCCTCAACCTTCCAGTTTCAAGCAATTCTCCTGCCTCAGCTTCTGAGTAGCTGTGATTACAGGCACCTGCCACCATGCCTGACTAATTTTTGTATTTTTAGTAGAGACCGGGTATTGCCATGTTGGCCAGTCTGGTCTCAGACTCCTGACCACAAGTGATCCACCTGCCTTGGCCTCCTAAAGTGCTAGGATTACAGACATGAGCCACTGTGCCTGGCCTGAAGTTAAATTTAAAAATAAATATAAAGAGGGAGTGGAGGAAAAGTCAATCCTAGCTTCTTCTGATAAGTGCAAAACTAGTGATTTGTACTCAACAATCTTCCTATTGTTTTAAGCAGAAAAGTCCTTTTGACAAATAAAATTTAAGAAATCTTATCTAGGCTGGGTGTGGTGGCTCACGCCTGTAATCCCAACACTTTGGGAGGCCGAGGTGGGTGGATCACGAGGTCAGGAGATCGAGACCATCCTGGTCAATGTGGTGAAACCCCATCTCTACTAAAAATACAAAAATTAGCTGGGCGTGGTGACACATGCCTGTAGTTCCAGCTACTCTGGAGGCTGAGGCAGGAGAATCGCTTGAACCCAGGAGGCGGCGGTGGCAGTGAGCCAAGATCGTGCCACTGCACTCCAGCCTGAACAAGAGAGAAACTCTGTCCCCGCCTCCAAAAAAAAAAAAAAGAGACTGCCATACTGTTTTTCTACAGTGTCTGTACTCTTTTATATTCTCACCAGCAATGTATGAGGGATCTAATTTCTCCACATCCTGGCCAGCATTTGGCATTGTCACTATTTTTTATTTTAATCATTCTGATTGGTCTCATTGTGCATTTTGCTAATGGCTAATTATGTTGGCTATGTTTTCATGTTTTTATTCGCCATCTCTATATATCCTCTTTGATGAAATGTCTGCATATGTCTTTTGTCCATTTTCTAATTGGATTGCTTGTATTTTTGCCATTGAGTGTTGAGTTATTTATATATGGCAGATAGTAATCTTTTGTCACTATGCGGTTTGCAAATATTTTCTCCAGTCCATGGACCACGCTTTGACTATGCAGAACAGTCATTCTCTCGTCTAGTTCACAGGACTCAGAGGTCAGCGGAACAGGCATTCTTGAGGACAGTTCACAGATGCAGAAACACAGGTCTAGAGGGTAAAAGGACTTTCCCACAGATGCACAAAGAGTTTAGGGGCAGAAGTGGGCTCAGAACCCAGATCTCCTGGCCCTCGGCTGAATGATCAGACAACCTTGTGGAACGAGAGGTCCACCCTTTCCCTCCCCTCTCATCCTAGACAGATGCTTACCTCACAGCCGTGGCTCTGGTTGAGCTTGCTGAAGCCAGACAAAGGAGAGAAATGTCTGCTCCTGGGCAAGGGCCAGTCTCCAAACAGGACCCTATGTCCAGAAAATAGGCACTTTCCTCCAGGTGAGGGAAGATCTGACCCTGGAGTAGCTACTACAGAATGAGTTTTGTGGGACAGCTTGAAGCCGGGGAGGTTAAGTAACTTGCTTGAGGTCACAGTGATTAAGTAATAAAAGTTGGGGGCCAGTTACCAAATATTTGCAATGCCTTCCTGTCAGCCTTGATACTGGCTTCTATATGGGAAGGAAAATAGAGTCATCAGATATATTCGATGGGTCCCAGAGGAATAAAAATTTGGCCTCTAGGAAAGCGGGGGGAAAAGGCTTTCCTTGGAGAAGCAAGTGGGGACAATCATGGTGAGGGTGGGAGATGTCCTCTTTCCCTGGGGACTGTGGCATCATTAGAAGAGACAGGAGGAAGTAGCAGGTTGGGAGCTTTGGTCCACTTCTCTATGGTCAAGTATGAGCTCTGAGGTCCTTGGGGTTTGTTTTAGCTGCAGATTAGAGTATTGGGCTGAAGAGAGAAACGAAGTAACGTCCACATCAGATGGGAGTTTGTCTGGGCCCTGGGTCTCTACGGGCCTGGCTAGATAGAAATGTTCTCTGTTCACAGGGCAGAAGCAGCACAGGCAAGACTCCTCTGAACTCCACTGCTCTGAACAGGAGCCCCAGAAGGTGGTCTCCAAGAGGACGGGAAAACAGGACAAGTAGGGCTGATACCCCGCCCAGCACTATCGGCCTTAACAGAGGCGAGGAGGGTCAAAAGCCTGGTCTCATCTTGAGGACCTACTGTGAGCTAGTTTGCGTCCAATATACAGCTGGAACTTTTAGGAAGGAATATGGTGCAGCTCCCATCTCCATGCCCCTTATAGCTTGTCCAGGAGGTGTCACAGTGACACACTCAGAGCCAAATGGAACACTAAGGACCATCATTGCCCGTCAGCCAGAGACTACCAGGAGCCACCTGTAGTTAAACAAGTTAAAAGAGCTTCACCTTCTGGAGCAGGAGGTGAGAGTGGAGGGGTAATAAAATGAGGCTGAGGCTGAGGCTGGGGCAGGGCACAGGGGTTCACACCTGTAATCCCAACACTTTGGGAGGCCAAAGCAGAAGAATTAATTCTGGCTAAGAGTTCGCCATCCTGGGCAACATAGCGAGACCCTGCCTCTACAAAAAATGCAAAAAACATTAGCGTAGAGTCGTGGTGTGGACCTGTAGTCCTAGCTGAGGTGGGAGGCTGAGGCGGGAGGAGTTGGTTATGAAAGGGACTTAGAGGTTACCCCATAGGAGTGGGTGTCCCCAAATCAGCCCCTCTAATTTCTGGTGGTTCATGAGATCATCATACCTGATATTAATAATACTGAATCACATAGAAAGAATTTCCATTTTCTATGTGTCTGGGTCCTTCTGATTAAGAATAACATGGTGTTTATGACTCTAGAGCCAGACAGCATTGCTCTGGATCCTGACTCTGTGACTTACCAGCTGTTTGACCTCAGGAAAGTTACTCAACCTCTCTGAGCTCCAGTTTCCTCATCCATAAAATGGGGATAGCAATTGTACCTACCTTATTGGGTTGCTATATTAACTTAGTTCATTTAAACGACATATTGGTGACTATTACATCTAAGAGAAAGTCTCCATGTACTGTTAATGTGGTTTTAACACGCCTTGCCCATTTTGAGCCTATACTCACTTTTAATAAAGTGAATATGATATCTCAGTGGAGATACATTCTAACTTTCAGCAGACAGTGATATCGGATTAGAATGTAATAGTAACTTCTTCCACTTTCCTGTATTTTGTCTTTTTTTAATAGTTATTTTCAAGTTATGGCAGATAATACTGGGTTTCCATCTTGGGTAGTAACATAAAGTTATAAAGTTTTCTTTAAAAATAAATTATTAGGCCGGACGTGGTGGCTCACGCCTGTAATCCAAGCACTTTGGAGGCCAAGGTGGGCGGATCACCTGAGGTCGGGAGTTCAAGACCAGCCTGACCAACATGGTGAAATCCCGTCTTAAAAATAAATAAATAAATAAATAATTTTGCCTGTTGGCAGGGGGAGGGAGACCACCAGGAAGAATAGCTAATGCATGCTGGTCTTAATACCTAGGTGAGGGGATGATCTGTGCAGCAAACCGCCATGGCACATGCTTACCTATGTAACAGACCTGCGCATCCTGCACAGGTACCCCTGAACTGAAAATAAAAGTTGAAGATAAAATAATATTTAAAAAGAAAATTATTTTAAGTAAAGATGTGAATTAAAAATAAAAGTTATAATGTAATATTAAATCTTAAATATTGCTGGGTGTGGTGGCTCACGCCTGTAAATCCCAGCACTTTGGGAGGCTGAGGTAGACGGATCACCTGAAGTCAGGAGTTTGGGAGACCAGCATGGCCAATATGGTGAAACCCTATCTCTACTAATAATACAAAATTAGCCGGGCGTGGTGGTGCGTGCTTGTAATCCCGGCTACTCAGGAGGCTGAGGCAGGAGAATCATTTGAACCTGGCGGGCGGAGGTTGCAGCGAGCCGAGATCACACCACTGCACTCCAGCCTGGGTGACAGAGCAAGACTGTCTTAAAAACGAAAAACTTAAATATTAAAATATGTAATAAATAATGCAAGTGGTGATAGATGTGGCAAAATTTCTGGAAGTGGTGTATAAATGAAGTTCACGAGCTTCATTGTTGAGAGAAATCCTGTAGAATCCCTGGAGGGTTTTGAGCAGGAACATTCAGACAAGAGCTGCAGTATAGGAGGCCTGACTTGCGTGGGCCCCAGGCTACTCTAAACAGACAGGAGGCAGGCAGTCCTCTGTCCTGCCTGGGGCTGAGCTGGGTCAGGAACAAGAGGGAGGGTGAAATTCTGTGAATACTTATCTTTCAAACAAATTGCAAATAGACATCTTTGACACAGTCTGAACACTTTGAACATTGAACATTAAGTTATTTAAGGAATTATTTTTAGTGTTGTTGGGTATGACAATGGCATATGGTGGTATGTAAAAACAGGTCAGGTGTGGTGGCTCAGGCCTGTAATTCCCACCATCCAGAAATAACCAGTCCATACAGGTGTATATATCTTTCATCTTTTTTCTATCCACAAATACTGTTACAAATGTGAGCTTGGTGGCACAGGCTGCTTTATGAGGTTCTAGTGCAGGCTCCCCCCAGAAAGATGGGAGGCTGATCCTTCTTGCAGTTTCTCCCTAAGAGAGGAGGGAGCATCTGATGTAGCGGGAGGGTGTAAAGGAACCACACATACTCAGACCATTCACTTGGGTGGGGATTGCTTTCTGCCCTCAGACATCTGGTAAACCAGACATGTCCTCCAATTCAGGAGTGCTGAATAAGACTCGCGGGGCGGGTGTTAAAACCACTTTCTCTAATCACCCTCCTCTCCATCTGTCTGCCTTCTGTCTCTGTTTCTCAATCGGTTCCACATTGTGGAATGGAAAGGGGCTGTTGTTTATTAACACCCTAAATTGAAATCACCAAATAGCATGAAAAATTTGACATTTTGGCCAATGTTCTTCTTGACAACTTTTTAAATGGCTGTATGTTATATGTATAAAATTTATAACATCACCAACATCATCATAAAAAGAAATACTTAAGAATAAACCTAACAGAATATGTATAAGATCTGTATATGGAAAACACCCTGATGAAAGAAATCAAAGATCTAGATGAATGGAAAGATATTGTCTTCATAGGTTGTAAGACTCAATATTGTTAAGATGTCAGTTCTTCCCAATTTGACCTATTGGTTCAACACAATCCCAGTAAAATCCCAGCAAGGTATTTTGTAGATTTCAACAAACTGATTCTAAAACTTCCATGGAAAGGCAAAAACTGGAGTGCAGTGGTGTCATCTTGGCTCACTGCAGCCTCTACCTCCCAGTTTCAAGTGATTCTCCTGCCTCAGCCTCTCTTGTAGCTAGGATTACAGGCACCTGCCACTATGCGTGGCTAGTTTTTATATTTTTGGTACAGACAGGGTTTCACCCTGTCCATGGAAAGGCAAAAGCTAGCATAATACTGAAGAAGAGCAAAGTTAGAGAACTTACACTCGCTGATTACAAGGCTTGCTATAAAGTTATAGTAATCAAGACAGTGTGATATTGACAAAACAAATGACTAGATCAGAGGGACAGAATAGAGAGTCCAGAAACAGATCTACAAAAATATAGTCAAGGCTGGGCATGGTGGCTCACTCCTATAATCCCAACACTTTGGGAGGCCGAGGCAGGAAGATTGCTTGAGGCCAGGAGTTCAAGACCAGCCTTGGCAACAAAATGAGATCCTCTCATTTCTAAAAGTATTAGAAAAAAATATAGTTAACTGATCTTTGACAAAGGAGCAAAGGCAATTCAATGGAAAAATGATAGTCTTTCAACAAATGGTACTAGAAAAATTGTACATTCATATGCAAAAAAAAAAAAAAAAAAAAAAAAAGAACCTAGACATAGACCCTATGCCTTCCAAAAAATTAACTCAAAATAAATCATAGTGCCTGGCACAGTGGCTCACGCCTGTAATCCCAGCATTTTGGGAAGGTGGAGGTGGGTGGATCACTTGAATCTAGGAGTTCAAGACCAGCCTGGCCAATATGGTGAAACCCTGCCTCTACTAAAAACACAAAAATTCATGCGCCTGTGGTCCCAGCTACTCTGGAAGGTGGAGGTTGCAGTGAGCTGAGGTCATACCACTGCATTCCAGCCCAAGTGACACAGTGAGAGTCTATCTCAAAAAAAAAAAAAAAAAAAAAAAATCATAGACCTAAATGCAAAATATAAAACTATAAAATGTGTAGAGGAAAATGTAAGAGAAAATCAGTGTGAGCTTGGGTTTGGCAATGAGTTTTTAGATACAATATTAAAAGCATGATTCATGAAAGAAAAAAATAAGTTGGACTTTATTAAAAGTAACACATACTGCTATACCAAGACACTGCTAAGAGAATACAAAGACGAATTACAGACTGAGAAGAAATAATTGCTAGTTACATTTCTGGTAAAGGACTTATATCAAAAAATATACAAACAACTCTTAAAATTCAACAGTAAGAAAACAACCCATTTAATAATGGACAAAGATCTGAACAAATATCTTACCAAAGAAGATATACAGATAGCAAATAGGCACATAATAATATTTAACCTCATTTTTTTTTTTTTTTGAGATGGAGTCTCACTCTGTCACCCAGGCTAGAGTGCAATGGTGTGATCTCAACTCACTGCAACCTCTGCCAACCTCTGCCTCCTGGGTTTAAGTTATTCTCCTGTCTCAGCTTCAGCTGAGACTACAGGCACATGTGACCATGCCCATCTAATTTTTGTATTTTTATTAGAGGTGGGATTTCACCATATTGGTCAGGCTGGTCACAAACTCCTGACCTCAGATCATCCACCTGCCTCAGCCTCCCAAAGTGCTGGGATTACAGGCATAAGCCACCACACCAGGCCA